TAGCGTTCAGATAAAACCTTCACAAATCTCAAGAAAATGCAAAGCTATTTACCCCAAAAATAAGATTAAATGTGCACAAAATACAGTTGAGGTTATCTGCGGCCTAAAATGTCAGTTTTGACGAAGGAATTCATTGCGTGCGAATTTCCACGGGATTTAACCTAGTGAGATTAATTATAAAAGCCTTGCTTTTTGAACGGTGCGTATTTCGCTTCTTTATTCAAGCTTCAGGCATTTGACATTATAGGAGCCCCGCATGCAAACATGAACAACGACAGGATGCAGAATGCATTTGAAATAATATATTTCTAGGTCGTGAGGATGGGTATAAAATAGATCAAACGTTTCGAAGTGTAAGACACACACAACGTTCATACCCACAGTACCGATCAATATAAATCGTGACTATTTGTTTAACGTTCATCACGTTTTGCCTACGTAAGTCATTAACAACCCGGTAACAAATCTCAGCCCACATATGACAATCATTTTAGTGGGGAGGGTCTTGACGAGGACTATCCCGCAATACTACTTGTGTATGGGTAAGAAGTGGTATGTTTTTCATGCACACCGTGTTTTCTCCACCAACGGGCACTAAAGTGAAGTATTGCGGCTTGGTAAATTCGGATACCAAGTCAAATGGTGTTTTATACCACTCCTGAACTTCGCTGCTCAGTGTTTCGTAAAAGTAGGCAAACAGGTGCAACCAACAAAATCCCTGGTTTAAAACCGTCATGTGTTTGTAATGCATCACGCTCAGTGGCTTTTTGGAAACGCCTTTTGAGTACGGAATGCACCACTTTAGGTCATTGGCAAGTTCAGGTACCTCATCGCATGACGTACTGAGTTTTATAGGAGCAGATTCAGTTCATCCGCGGTTGCTGGTTTAAGCATTAACTGCAAGCCTTCTGAAGTTAAATGTTGATTCTGTTGCCGTCCTCTGCACAGAAACTTGGATTGTTGATCCGTACTTTCGTTCTTCTTAGTATTGCCAACTGATAAAATGTGTAACCTTTTTTATTCGACATAACTAATTTGCTACCCTTGACATTACTATGAACAGAAGGATGTGAGGAGATCCGCCCCGCCATCTGGGTAAGATTTTGATATTTTGCGTATCATTAATCATCAAGTGCACGGTATTTCGGGCGAAAACCTCGGAACTTGTGTTTATTTTTAACAACGTCCCACATAGCGCTGCAATTAGCACCAATATGACCCAGATTCTTCTGAAAATTTAATTGGCGCAAAATATTGGTATAAAAAGTTTCTTTGAATATGACGACTGATAACACGTGGACTTGAAGTGGATGGCAACACATGTCGAAGAAACATTGAAAACTACATTTAAAAATTTTAAACGGCCCATTTAAAGTAATATTTTACTTCAACAGGCATACTCGAATTGAAATTCCCAATTAGCCCGCGCTGGGAAATGTCGTGGGGATTTAGTTTTCCATTAACTTACGAGCCAGAAAATTCACCAAAGTTTCCTCTGTGGAATTATTTGAATGATAAAGCCCACGACTGCATTCCAAATGTACTGAACAGATTTTATAGGTGGCATTATTTTCGCTCTCGGTTACATCCCATCTTGCATTTTAGCAGGAACGTTCCTTAGGGTTGAAATGTGTCGCGGTAGGTTTATAATGATTTTCACTCTTGTGTTAAAATTTAGCAGAGAATTCTGTTTTCACCTTGTTGGATTCTATAAAACTTAGCTGGCGATTTATACTGAGGCAACGACGTTTATCAACTATGGAGCGTATATTGAAATATTACCCAAGATGTCATATAGTTACTGCGGAGATGTAAGTAATGCAATCGGAATGGATGTGAGGACATTTAGTTTGCAAAAACGAACCTTCATATGTAACACTAAACAATGTGGTCTTTCTATTCTTAGATCGATGCAATACAGAAGAGAAGAAGCGTTGTATAGGTCTGTCGAAGCTTTCCAACTATCAAACCTAATAATTTTGCAATGTGCGTTGACGACTGCATGAAACGCCTACCTTTGCTGAACATTTTTCATCGGGCAATGATCCGATTAAGCTTCTTTTCAGAAACGTTCCTCCTTCCAATTTTTAGGTCCCTATGCAAACTTTTATGCCAGGGGTGGACACTGGGAAGCAATTTGTTCATACGTTTGCCACACTGAACCCCCGTGAATTCGCAGTCAACTCAATTAAAACTCCTTAGTTTGACACTCATAATTTTATGTGCATTTTAAAACCATTATTTAACCCCAGTACTATCAGAAGTGTCAAATTTCCAGAGTAGAATGCTCGTGTATCAAGCGAAACTGCGGCGCCACTTGAAAATCCAGAGTCTGACCTTTCAACATTTTAGCAGCATATCCAAACAGTGGACCGAAAAACGTTTGCCCTGTCACTAACTGCTTTATCATTTTTTATGTAGTTTGTGAATCTTGTGCACTTTAACGGTTGAGTCACGCACAGTACACACAATTTTTTAAGGCCAGGAAATGAAAAGTCCCGAAAAACATTGGCGTAAAAATTGCCTTTTTCAAGGGTAGTTAATTGTGTGGAACGCAGGACGATTGAGAAATATTAACTCCAAGCATGTGTGACCTGGAGGGATTTTATCCGTGGTGGATTGAAATCCGATCCTTTTGGCTGCAAAGCTGAAGGAAGCCAATAATAATGTCTTCCGCACGTGCTCAATATTTGGGGCTCTTTTTGGAGGGTTGGTACTTTGGGCATCGTTCGGCCTGCGTTTAGGGCAAAGGACAGATTTTGGGAGTACGACAAAGATTATGTCAAATATAAACAACGATTTGTTAAACAAAAAACATTGAAGGCATTAACAAAGTTTGCCGTCCAAAATTCGGTATCATTCTTGTCAGTCGATCATTGGTGAAAAAATTTCTGGGTTTTGAGTTATTTCTTTACACTATCTAATGACGGTTAATCGTACTGAACACACTTCCGGTCGAATTAACCTGAAACGTTTTCAGACATACCAGAAATCTTGTTTACTCTGATCATACAGCAAACAGTAGAACCAACCCCACTAAACGATACTTTCTCCCTGCGATTCTGCAACGATGATTGGCAGGTAAATGCTGGGAGCTGGCTCGTGACCGTTGCACCGGTGAGTTTCATTGCTGGAGTTTTGTCACATTTTGGGGGGAAGTGAATTTCTATTTTACAAGGATCTTTGAACCCAGTGAATCTTTCATAACGGCACTTTTCTTCTTGACGTGCAGACCGTTGCGGAAAGAACAGAAGTTGCATACGTGAGTCTCTGCAGCCGGAAGCCCTACAGTAGAAAAAATTTTATCCTGTCTGTTTTTAACCCATGACCCAATGCGTACTTTGTAATTGGCACGGCAAGCTGATTAACTACCGACGATAACAGGCGCTTAAAAAGACACTTCGAGCAAGATTTTCACTTCGTAAAACATATATGGGATGCGCAGACTATATGCAGATTTTGAGAACATCAATGGCTTGACCCTCTGGAAATTTCAGTTGGATAATGTGATTGATGGTACATATTTGCCTTATATTACTCATGACGATGTTGATGACGTCTTTATTGTTATAGAAATGTGTCATCAGCTACACAATCCGCCATGTGAGTCCTGAACTCAGCTATTTTTGGATTAGTTAGGTTCAAGATTGCGTGCAGGCAGCTTTGAAACAGATTATACGCAGGAGGCAAATCACTAGCTGTGCTCTACTCGCATATTGCGGCATGTAATAAAAGAAAGAATGATAAAGACCAAGCATATCAAAACATGTCACCTTAATCGACTGATCCTTCTTTTTAGAGTGCGATGAACAAACGCGCCTACCTTAAAAATTGATGCGTAATTAGTTGGAGCCACGCTGGAATTTCTCCCAACGACATCCTTCAAATTTATATAGGAGATTTGTGCACATCCAACAGACCTTGAACTGCTATTGAACGTATAGGTTTATCTTGAAACTCCCGGCATCTTACAACACCAGATCTAAATCTCAAATCTGGACAGAAAAAAATTAACTGGGATTAGTCTAACAGGGAAATCCACCTACCCAAGGAGAAACCCGATGTTTAACCCTAATACATGGGGTACATGTATAGTTGTTTGCGGGTAGTTGATCAAGTGGCCTTCGATCTGTTTGTCGAGCTTGATACTTCATTTAGCCGCGAGCCGGGAACACACTAAAAATGACCCCACGAATGGTGACGAAACGCTTGCAAATCAGCTGCGATTCGATCAATTACCAACAAATGCACTTGAGCCACCGATATTCCAACATAGTTTTTGGCACCTACGCGGATGAATTAAAACCGTCTTTATCCTCATAATCCTGCCTCGAGTGAATGGTCGAAACCGCACAATATGTGTTAGTGAGCACCTCAGTCATTTGATGTGGTGCCCTATCACCGCTGCAATCTAAACCCCACTGTTTACACGGCATGTTTACTCCTGCTGCTACCGTGCTCGATATTTTCGGCTATTTGGCTGCAAAGATTTTTTGACATTCCAGGAAGTGACATTATTTCTTTGACACTCCTGCAAAAAATGCAGCCAAATACTGGGGAATAATTTTGTTTTGAATAAAATAATGCTTCCGGAGTGGTTACTTATCGCAACTCCCCTGTTCGTGGGACGGACTTGGAAGATAGCAGTTTTACCAACCAATTTGATTATTTTCCAGAAGCCTGCTTGCGCTCAGTCAGGGAACTTCGGGAATTCCACTGGAAACAGCTATTTTTGGATGAGGCGCACGACCCATCTAGCTATCAAAATCACGAAAGGATTTCGAGAGACGAACAAATGTCTGAGGGAAAATTCCCCCCAAATTTTCATCGTTTGTAAAGCAGTCGACGCGGTCCGCCAAATCATTTCAACAAACAGGTATTTGGAACGCGCAGCCAGATAATGCACGTCTGGAAATCGAGGGACTCACGGCTGATCCATTTTAGTGAGGAGGAAACATAAAATGAATTTATTTAATTATAACTAAAAATGAATCGATAACCTCATATCCGGTACAGGTGAAGTTGCGACGCCCATATCTAACCGTCGGTGATATTCGCCGTCGGTTGGATAACTCTTGAAAAAGTGAGAATACAAAGAATTCTATGATTTAAATCATGAAAAATGTTATTACTTGGCATTGGTCAGTAATATTAGGGTGAAAGAACTCAGAAGCACGGGACAAATGCGCGACTATGTCACTAGTTTTAGCGGCAACGCACCCAAAGAAACCAGGTTGTCTGCTGACCCCCGAGAGGATGCTGAACCCCGAGAGGAGTCCATATATAATGCCGTATTCCTAGGCTTTGCTATAAATGGTGCGCATTTTACGGTAGTCGGATTTTCAACCAAGCAGTGAGCACATTTGTGTTAGTGCGACTGTATAGGAACCACATTCGCTTATCTCCTGGTGTAGTATAACAAAACTAAGCTTTCTTGGAATAACATGTCAAAAGAATCTTGATGATATCACCGGATTGGGATTATGACACTTTGCAGTTGCTACCAATGTGGACCAACACAAGCGAAAGTTCGTGCAGCCCAAATCATTGTCCAAGATATGGAAACAACTACGCCGAAAAGTGCAACTTTTCTTTTGGTGGAAAGTCCCATGTACTCTCAATGAATCAACAAATTTTCAGATTGAGCAACTTGTTAACAGTGACTTATTCTCATGTTTTCAACATTATTCATGACAATGACGAGATAACCAGCACTAGAGAACCTTGGTTTTGCCAGCATTCCAACTTTTGTTTTTTGACGCTTATTAATACTACACTGGTAGCTACTGAAAGACTGATAGATACATTTGTGTAATGGGGAGTAAACACCAACCGAAGACAAACAAACGACTTATATAGGCTTACAAAGTCCAGTTTAAGTTATTATTAGAACCATTTGCAAAATTCCTCCATTATGTTTGGGTAAATGTGGCTGGGCAGATACTGGTTTGAATTCAATATTTTACATATCCACAACCACTTTGCCCAAAAACGGAGTTCCTCTTCAACCGCTTCTTACCGCCGGAACTAATTGTGATATCGGATGTGGTAGAATCATGGTCGGCATCGTCTGATTATTTGCGCTTAAGTTGCACAAGTGATCAAATCAGACATGTAAAGAATTAGTTTTCATTACTTTGTTGCTTCAGTTTAACCATTCAAGAGGGTTTGGCACCCGTCAAAGGTCCTAGAGGTTCGACGGAATTATCTGCCAAAAATCAACGCGTAGGCAATAGGTGTAAGCAAAGCATCAGGATAAATAATATTTGCCAGCGATGTAATTCAGACAAAACAAACAGATTTAATAGTAGACGGCTAAAGCGTAACCCTGCAGTGTAAGCTTGTAACTGATAGACAGAGGGTTGATACCTTCACAAATCTGGGTGAAGTCCCGCAAACTAGAAATCCTCGCTTTGAAACACAAAGGGTCAAGGGCACTGACTCGAGTGTTGAGGCTGGTACAATCTAGAAAGTGCATCGGCCTATTTGCCAATAGTTCAGATATCACAACTGGAAAAAATGCCTTTTGCAAGATCCGCTGACTTATATGGCTTGCTTGGGAAGCTGCCTAAGTGCAGAGTGCCGACAGGCAAACCTCCATCCAAAACATCAAACTTTCCCGCTGAATCGTAAAGCCAGAATTTATTTCGTGAGATCAAAATAGCTTGACACTTATTTTTAAACATGTGAATGGCTACCCATCTGCTGGTTTGTATATGATGGACGGTGAAGTGCTCGCAAATCTCAAGTTCCCTTGTAATTCCTATACTTTATGAACAACAATAAGGCCTGGGCCTTTAAGAACAACGCAAAATTTAGTTCCTAAGCAGCTGGCTAGGAATGTTTAATGTCCTGGGATTCAGTGACCTGTACGCTCTTGACCAAAACAGTCCGTTCAATCCGAGGTCTTTATTTCTTCGTGTAGCAAGTGACTAGTGTGGAGATTTTAAACGTGTTCGCGCTGCAAAACTTCCTTGAAGGCTTTTGGCCTTAGACAACAGACCTCAATAAAAAAAGGTGAAAACAAGAGAGGCAGACGTATTTCAATACGGATAAGTGTTATTGCAGGCTAAGTGGAAGTTGTTGGCTTCTTGCGACAAACGTTGAACACGGAATGGTTTTGAGCGCGGCAAGTCAAACAAAGGTTAGGTTAGTTAGTTTGCGCGCATCAGATATGCAAAATCGGATCAAGTCCAAGAATTGGCAATCGTGGTTTGATAAAAGGGCACACCACAAATGTCACGAGAGAACGAGAGAAAGATTTTGAGCCATGCAAATTAACTATGGGGCGGAGTCGAATAATGTTTAAATTTTTGGTGAACAACATATCGCTATACCATATGACTGCGAAACCCCTAGAAACTAGGATGTTTCATTTTATAACTTGCAAACATTGATAGCTTCACAGGAACTTCACTTATTTGAAAGGAACCAGTGATCACTCGCCTTAGTGGGACCTCAAGTGTCGGGTTTGGGTGCATATCTCCACGCTGATAACATGTTACAGAGCAATAAAAATAAGCCACGAAGTACGGACGAAAACCCCTTGGCAACGCTAAACTTTGCATGGTTTGTCACGTAAATTGTAGTTTAGTTGTTGGGAATAAATGTGGCGAAGAAATGTTCGAAGTTGGACATCAAACCAGCTTACTGCGCTACAAAAGTAAAACTTCAACTTGAACGCCGCCTGAACCCTACATACCGATTCGCCCGCTTGCAGAAGTTAAAGGGTCCCTAAAAAGACAATTTCACGCCTGTAGCACAAAGTTACCAAACATCCCCGCGGTCCCGGTAGACGGGGACAGCAACATGAATTTTCGTGCGGTTCTATGGGGTTTATATTCGCCTGTGGTTGGTACACTAGCGCAATATGTGCTGCTATTTACACGTTTCAGTACCGCTTTCAATTTAACCTAAATTGCAAAATGCCAATATATTTGTCTTTTTGAAGCTATAGACCAAGTGGGTTCCGCAAGTGAGCCACTTATTTGCTGGCGTAAACTTTGTGCGCGCAAATAAAAGCGTAGGATATCTCGAAAGTCTAATCGAGTTTGCACAACATTCTCGGACAAAGAAGAAATCCTGACTTGCTCATTCTCACTTGAATTAAAGCAGTCCGTGTTGCGGGCTGTGTCAGAATTTTCTTCATCTGAGGTACCCTGCGATGTCCATAGACTAACCGATCCATATATTTTATAAGTCAGCGTGTTTTCTGCTCGACTTCCGCACTGAGTAGACGTTTCATCAATGCCAGCGTGTTCTTTGATGGAGACATACAGGCGACGCGTACCGGTCCCATATTTTGTAACGATATAGACTGGATAAGAATTAAGCAGAAAGGGGCAGATCAGGCCATGCCTAGTTACTTGCGCAAGTACCCAAATAGCCCCTATCCAATCGGTTTCTCGCTAGCTGAAGTTGATGCGCCACCAACTCGTCCGGGATTTTGGAAGTGACTTTTCGGAACTAGTTTTGGTCCCCTATGTTAGAAAGAATATAGCTTCAAGCTATTTGGAACCTCGCAAAATATCTGAATATTGTGGCAAATATATTGTGCACGGCCTAGATCTAACACAACCGACCTTTTAACTCTAAGGCTATTAAAATTCAGAATGCAACTGAAAGCGTGGTCTTTGCTCAACTATGTATACATTATTTTCCAACTTCGTTCAATGCCAGATTTCGATGTGGTATGATGTGCGTGGTTCCATCAGGAACTTACTTGTCTTAATCTGCTCCCTTATTTCAGCATGTTCTGTTGGTTATACCATTTTCAGTACTGCTTTTAAGTTTTCCCAGTCAATAAAATTCCGAGATGTTTGCTTTTTTTGAAATAGCAAACCAAGTGGGTTCTTCAGGTGAGCAGTTAATTTGCCGGCGGTGAACAAGTGGTGTTCGTTCCACCAAAGTACGCACAAATGAAAGCTTGGAGCACTTTGTACTTCTAATCGAGTTTGCGCATATTTTCCTGGCAACGAAAAAAGTCTCGTGTGCTTTTCCAACCCTTCTCTTTAACAAGCCCGTCTTGTGAAGTATGTCAGAAATTTTCGCGCGGCTCGGCCATTTCTAAGCTATTATAGTTTAGCTCGTTTACTGCTCGCGGTTCGCACTGGACGGACGTTTCCTCAATACCAGGCTAATGGGCAGAATTGCCGTTCACGTATTCCACTATCAAATTTGGTAACAACACTGACTGGATAACTACTTTGCCTAAAGCGAACGATCAATCTGGGTCTGGCTGCTTACGCAAGCGCCATCCTTAAGCTGCACATTGCCAATTAAAAGTGATAAGCAACCGATTCGTCTGAGTGTTTCATAACGGCTTAACGGGGTACTACATACATGGAGAGAGAATCGTCGCTGCTGAATGTCAACCCAGATTACCGTTTCACACCAGCCTTGCTAACAAGCCCTCACCTGCTGCAGCAAGATACGAGATTTCGGCAAAATTTTATGGAATAATTCCGTTATGTTTTGAACAAAATCATTAAAGGAAAGTCTTACTCCGATGGATCGCGTTGGTTGTCTTTCAACGTAAATTACATTTCAGAGACTGTTTATCCGCCGGTCAGGTCCTGCTGTTTAACAGTGTATCTCCACGTCCAGCTTTTAGTGCAATAGATTTTGTGTCCCGCCCAAAATTGCGATCCAGATATTTCGAGTCATTCTGCACACTTAAATGGTGAACATAAATGCAGCCTTAGTCAACCAGTGATTTACTGCTGCGACATGCTGTTTACGAGCTGATTGTGATTCATACCCTGGAATTGTTGCCACACTGTACTATCCTGGATTCGAATTTGCATGAATTTCCAAATCTGCAGCGGAAGCTCATGTTCCCAATTTCGTGCGTAGAGAGGCAAACATTTCTACGCGATTTTGCGTGAGTTCGAACTAGCTGTGACAATTATTCACTACAGGCACTATACGGTTTTGTCACCTTCCACCTGTGCTGGGCAAATTCCTGGCCCAGTTGATATAGGGGGATTATCAACGTGCGTATTTTTTCCAGAATCTATTGAGATTTAGACTTCAGTTCTGACTACAAGTTTACTCGGAGTTCAGTTAACGTGTTTTGCAATAGATATCGGTTATATATGAAATCATAATTTAATTGAGTGAGATTGACGCTCATCCACCCTAGCAAATCATTTCAGTAATACCATGGATGAATTTTCTAAAACCAGCCGCTTTTTAAAACAAAAATTTTATCCGGCTTAGGTGCTTCTTTCACACCCCCTTGTGCCTCAATACCGCTTATCATTTTGATGCAACGGCATAGCGTTCATCCACAGAAGTAGCCATTTTTACTGCAACTTATCTCGCTATTGGATTGCAAATCATTGAGGACATGCTGGTTGCAAGTCTAGGGCATAATTCTGTAGAACAGTAAACGGCAGTGCTATTATGGATTTGAGGATTTCCCCTTGGCCAGCCAACTTAGATCAGAACACAAGTTCAAGTGACATCCCGCCCAGTGACATGCTTGGTAGTTAAATGAACCGTTTTAACCAAATTCGGGACCAGAACATGGCGTATCTCACAAGGCATGAGAATCCGCAACCTAAACGCAGTTGAAAGGTGCAAACACCCTTATTGTGTGATGTTACTTATTAGCTAACACATTTAAGTAAACGTAAGCTACTGGACAAGACAGTAAACAGCACATGATTTTCAGTACCGAAAACTAAAATTTTCACGCATTTGCTCGAAGTTTTACGTATGTTCACCAAATGGTACAGTTAAGCATCAAATGCGCCATTACGTTATTAGTTAAATGTGTTAATTTTATGGCCAAATTGTGACCAAATTGTGTTAGATGTAAAACCTAGTGAACTAGTCACTTATTTTGATAGTGGCCCGAAGGGCACCTAGCGAGCTGGAGGTCTTAATCCTCTTAAAAATGCTGCATTTTGCGATATGCCGGCTGACAGTGACGCAATTTTGACTGACTCGCCAAGACCATAGTTGAAAAAACCATCAATAGAATGCTGAAAACTTATCATTCACATATGAATCAAAATATCAGTTGGCTGTTTAACGTTCAAATTTCTTAGGTTTCGTCTATGCGTTCAAAAGAGTAGCGGAACGGCAAATCTGCTAATCTTATGACAAACGGGAACTTTATGTGAATATTTATTGCAGTGATCAAAAGGACCGTGATTTCTTCTCGACACTATGTGTAACCCACAGACTATGCTCGGCAAGTAATTTCGTGTATTGTGTCTGAATTTTCTCTGGTGTCGAATTTAATTTAGTCTGGTGAGAAACATCGAATATAAATACAAGCTAGACTCATCGGCGTTGAATTCTTGGATTTGACGAAGCGGGCTTTTGCGCCGCAACAAAATCGTGGGTTATACCATAGAATGTCAAATACATAGAGCCTAATTTTAGTTAAAGTATAACCCGAGTTTATCCAGTATTGGTGGTTTGATCAGTTAAGCATTGATCTCTTGGCCAAGCGTGGCAACTGGCTTGCAAACGTTTCGTCCCTAATCACGGAGACATCCTCGGTACGCAGTTGAGTGAGCGCTTCCTCTGTGCTTGGAGCACTTCTACTCATGTCACTAAATGAATATTCTATTGTCTGTAATGCTACCCGAAATAAGTGTGTTGTTACAAGTACATTACATGCACAAATACTGAGAGCATAGGACGGTAGGTTTTACACGCAAATCTACATCAATATTCAGCAGCATGGGAACAACTTTTGTTTATCTGTTGCTGAAATATTGCAGAACTGTGCTTCCGTGAAATGGCATTTTGAAAGATACCTGGTTGGTTTTACCAGACTAGAATTAGGACTCCTTGGAGATGCTACCTGTATGGAATTACAAATGCGGGTTGTTCTGCAGCCCATTCATTGTCCATGAGATGTAAAAATGCGCTGAAACATTTAAGGAGAAATTAAGAAATATGATTGTACACCAAAAGTCCTGTATGAGTATGTGAATCTTTTTTCTCATTTTATTGACCTGACAAACAAATTTTTTGGTAAACACGTCTTAGAGACTCTGGATGTTGCAAACGATTCATCACGTGAAGCTTTCTTCGGGCCACGGAAACTAGTTTTCAGTATTCAAAACCGGGTTATGATAAAGGAAAATGCGCTAGAGCGCTTACTGAATGATTCTTTCCCGTTTCAGTCAACGCTATTTAATAGGATACACCTAACAGCCTGCCCGGATAAAATTGCTGAAATCAGTCTATTACGTGGTTGCAGAAAATAGAAGTATTTTCATGTTTAGTAGAACTAATCGGCTTTTCCAAAACATGATTTTGCCACGATTTAAACGCTGAATAGTCGGCTTCAGAGTCTAGCGAACGATGAATGCTACAGTGAGGTACTATAGATACATTTCTCTCTTCGAGAATGAAGGTGCAGTGATGTTTCCGCTTGTGCACTGGCTAATAAAATAGGTTTGGATGTTTTGCTTACATGTTTGTTGCATTAAACGTAAACGCCTAAATCGAAAAATACTTCAATCGCTGATGAGCTCTAATAAAAGCAGCTGTGAAACAGTGCGCCTTCGAGCTGTAGTAACATCACAGAAAATGTTGCGCCAATATTATAGGAGCTTTCCACGTACATTGTACGAATGGGAGCGCGTTCATTGTTTCACAGAAACCAGTATTTGCTTAGAAAGTAACACTAGTTTGTGTATGACGTCAATTTTGTTTGCTAGCAAGTCTGAAATTAGATGACTTTTGTTGGACTATCAGATATCTTCATGCTTAACTGTTGCTCGATACTACGCAACCGCAGGGCAAATGACCCCGGAGTCTTCTAAGTCACCTCAGAGTGGTTATTTCTTATTAGTCTCTCACACTAAAAAGCTACGCTTTCTTCACTAACAACCTTTTGATTTAAATATCAGCTTGGCAATTGGAGATGTTTTGCAAACATTTTGATCAAAGCTCAAATTCGTGGCAAGTTATAACTCCAGCAGGATAATGGTTTGACTTCAGTCAAATGAGTAAGTGAATCAACTCCAGAAACGTTGGGAGATCAAATTAGTCCACGTAGTTTACTTCCGTAGCTTTGTAGTACATGTAATATCAAACTCAATATCATGAAAATTCCCGATGATGGAGCACTTGGCCATTTTTTACTTCAGTGGAAAAAACACAGAATAAGTTTCTCCGGTGCTTTTTGTGATAAACCTCAAAAAAAGTTCTCCAGTGCTCACTCACCATAAGCTCAAATCTAAAGTAAACTTGGTATCTTTTAGGAATCACAATGACGTTGATCTTTTCAATTATATCAGCGAAATAAATACCGCGGAAGTGCGTGGACAATGCGCAATTGCCCGG